TTTATTCACCAGGTATGCTGGAAAGGTAAACATTCAAATTTGGCATTTTCAGGCTGGTAATCAATGTTTGTTTAATAATAGATAAACAGGACTAATATTTCTCCAGTGTGTAACTGTAATGTTACTGTTGCACTGTAAATTTACAATAACTTAATACAAGCAGAGTTGCCAGGTAGTTAAGTACCTCACTCAAACTGTGATGTTTGTTTACAGTAATTGAATTATTAAATGCAGTACAAACAGTTATAAACATTTGATACATACATACATTATGAAATAATATTACATATAACAGCAGTTTTGAAACTGCCTTTAAATTGCATCTGATTTACATTTTAAAAAGTCAAATATTCTTGGAAAAGGATCAAATACGTCATTCATTTTTTAAAAATACCAACAGCTATTTTTTCAAAGGCTAGCAAGCTAACAGGATCCTCCAATAGTACTCAAAGTTAAGCTTTTAGATGTATTTACTAGAGTATCCTTCTAAAAACTCCAAAATACAAAGTAAAAATATATTTCATGCATCAGTGTAAATGTGAATCTACACCACCGTTAGCTAGGTGCTAACCTGTTACCACAAATCCCACAGAGACCGAAACCCATAGCTAGCTGAAATTAGCATTATTAGCAATGATAATTATATACTTACAAAAATAATGTATACTTACAAAGTGAAAGTTTCTACATTAAAGTCTGATATATAATGACATTTATGACTCAAGAACTTGCTTGGATATCCCAGGTTTTTTTTTGTTTTGTTTTTTTTTGTGTTTAGTTGTGCTAGGTAAGCTAATATGCTATTACATAGTTAGCTTGTTAGCTAGCCAGGCTAATGTTTACTAACTTTATCACTTATTAAGAATAAACTTGTTGCATTAATCCTGATTCATAGTTATTATGCAGCTCAGCTAAACCTTTACCATTTATACAATGGAAAACTGGAAAGCTTAGATTTCAGTGGAGATGATGATTCATTTCTGCTTCAGAAATGTACTTTTGGTGGTGAGTCTTGCTGTTTGTTTTAATGCATTGTTACAATATTATTTCAGTAAAGTTACAGCATCCACACTATAAAATGAGTTGAATTCACTTTAAAAATGTGCAAACATATCGCAAAATGTAGACTTATTGTTGAATAACATTAGAATTTAGCTATAGGTACTTTCTATTTATCAGTCATCCACACTTCTTTAGCATATAAAGTTAACCCCTTAACATCCCCAGGCTTATTACATACTAAGGCTTATAATTTAGTAACTACAAGGACTTCAATGCAAACTGGTTGAGCTATTCTTAGGTAATAAAAGTATGCAATAAAACTTTGGGTCCGCCGGCCTGTTAAGGGGTTAACTTAACTGGCAGTACTCTTTTTTTCCAGTTATGTTTTTTCTGTTTGCTCTCTGTTTACTTAGGTTAATTTTACTCATCCTAGCTAGGTCAACCTCTCATTTAATTGTGCTTTGTTGCAAATATTTATCCATATGCAAAGCATCGATATCAACTGTGAAACAACCCCATTATTATGTTTGTGTGCGTGCGTGTTCTGCTGAAAGTACACTGGCGCTATATGGCTGCCGCTTTATATCGGTTTTCTGTTAGCTTAGTATTGTTTGTTTTGATGTTTACCATCATATCCACTGAGATAGTGGCTGAGAGCGGTTTTCCAACTGTGGCTCGGGGGCTTATTGGACTGGCTGTTTGGGTGACGCTGCATCGCGGCTGCAGGGCTCTCTGGACTGATCGACGTGGCATCGCATGACCTGGGCTGGCTGCTTAGTTAATGCTGTACCACAGCTGTGAGGCTGCCTGGACCGGTAGTGTTCGGCTGCATGAGCAGCGCTACGCCGCAGCCACAAGGCCTCTTGGGTCAGCTGCTTGGGTAACGCTGCATTGCAGCTATGAGGCTGCCTGGACTGGTGGTGTTCGGCTGCAGGAAAATGCTACCCCTTTGTGGCAAAGGGACATCTTCAGTCTTTCAGGCTTCCCAGTCCGGCCTCCTGTGTGATGCATGAGACTTTCCCCCGCTGCGAACGACTCTTTCTGGGCTAGCTAGCTGAGTGACTCTGTGCTGTGGTCACTGAAATTTCTTCCGCTAGCTGTGGGAACCGTGGAGTGTGTGTGTGTGTGTGTGTGTGTGAGTTCTGTATTATGTATTGTTGATTATGTATTGATTGTAAAGCATCCTTGAGCATGGGAAAGGCACTATAAAAGTGATGATGATGATGATGATGATGTTTGTGCATGACACAACTATATTGTTTTTCATTTTATATTATTCTTCTCTTTTATTTTTATTTTTCTGTCTGATTTTTGTGCGAAACTCGTTCCACAGTTTTCAAAATATCAACACTGTTTCACTTCCAGATTGTCCAATCTGATTGTGTGATTCGGGCTTGTATACAGCTTTTTGATGGGATGCAAGGATTTCATACAAACTTCGTTAAATTCCGAAATTTTTTTCCCACAGGAATGAATGTAGTGGAAAAATTACACAAACATCTACGGTACTCCTGCTAGACCAAAAGACATCGTTTACACATCCTATCTCAGAGCAGGCCCCCCAAGCGCAAATTAAATGTTGATCTGTTTGTCATTTTTTTCCATCCCTCATTTCTCCCATTCATTTTCTCCACCACACAAACTCTGTTACTTCCTTGCCCTACAGCCACCAAACTAATTGAAATCACTAAGGGTTGGACCTCAAACTGTACTGCACAGCCATACTGACCCGCACTCCTCTATGTGTCATTTTTTCATCCCTTGTTCCTCTCATAGAGTCCCATTTATTTTCACCCAAACCCCAGCCCAGGTTTTTCCTTTGCTCAACAGACACCAAAATGCATGTACTTACTAAGGGCAGGTCCTCAAGTTCTAATCCACAGTCATACTGACCCACACTCCTCTATCTGTCATTTTTTTATCTCTCGTTCCTCTCATAGACTCACATTCAATTTCAACAACATGTAGCCAGCACTTTGCAACTCCTTACAAACAACTACATAAACACCCTATACACCAAGGCAGCTGCCTAGCAACAATTTAGCAACCACATGGGATACCATAGCAATTGCCTAGCAACACCATAGCAACCACCTAGGATAGCATGCTAAGGTACCTAGCAACAACCTAGCAGGAAGTGGGAACCATTTAACCTTTTTCAACTCTTTGAGAATACCGGTGATTCCAAAACGCACTTCGTCATATTCTTCATAACTTTCATATTTTTTAAGCTATGTTCAAAAGGTGGGGGTCGTATGAGGCTGTAAGTGTCTTCTTTCCCGTCAAATAGATGGGTGATGTAATTTTAAACCCTTATACTAAAAGAAGCTGAACTCTGAAAGTTGACCCATTTTTCCACAAATCTGGGCTATAAACTATAAACAGGTGGCGTCTCTTCAGTGATCTGCTCTGTAAAAATTATTTTCATAAAAAAATACAAAGAGCGTCTAAGATTTTTGGCTTTCAGCAGTAAATTGTAAGCATATAGCAATATGTGTATGATCATACAACACATGTTCTGTTAATTTGAGGGGAGCTTTTTACAAAAAAATAAATAAATAATCAAAAAAAATTTAAATTTACATTCATTGTAAACTGAATAATTTGCCTTATAATTTGGGCATGTGAATTCAGATGGACAAACCAAAATATACCCTGGTCAACCATTCTGTGTTTCCTTCTGGAAATGCGCGTTTCTAGTTTTATTTGATTGTTTAATACAGTAATGAACAAATGGTGGTGTGTGCAATGGCTGCATATTATCTTATCCATTTCTTCATACAGTTATGAAGAAATGGATTAAACAAGAGTCAGACATTTCTGAGAACTCATCTTACTTTATGTATCTTGCCAATCTTTTCAGAAACTGCTCGGGGGTTGTTATTCACTGACCAATAGCATTCCTGGCTACAGGCTGAACTGATAAACCTGGACATAAAACATCATGGTGAGAATAACAAAAATACATAAAATGTATCCGACTTGAAGTTCTAGCATGAGCATGTGCTTTGACAAAAATAACATTATGCAATGAGAACTAATGAAAAAAATAAGAGTTAATTAACAGAGCCCAGCAAAACGGCTAAGAATGCTGGGAAGCTTTTTGGGCAAAAGACTCTTCAGTGTGTAGGACTTACCCAAATTAATTTATCTCAACTAGATTTACTTTAGTAACTCGGGATTATATAAGAAATAGTGTGTGTTAATAGATTTGCGTTAGTAATTTTAACAAATGGATAAACAAAAAAAAGTTAGTGCAGTTGTTATGTTTTACAGTGAAAGTGGTTAATACAGTATAATCTACCTGTAATTGTTTTCACAGAATTTAACACTGGATGCTGTATAAAACTGTACAAACCGTTAAAGTATAATACCAGCTTGAACATGGTACATTATTGCACAACAGACAGAAATTCTTAAGTGTGTCTTAACATGTATTGTTTCGTCACAGTTGTTTTGATGTTGGCTGGTTGCTCAGAGTCAACGCACGTCTTCTAGTGCTCTAAAACAAATTCATAAATATGTATAGGCTAATGTGTGCCAAAATAATGTTTATTTCTCATGTGCTGTTGCTGTTTACTTTGCATTTTTTTTATTTTTGATATTTCATTGTTCTCAGCTTGGTTGGCCAGAGTCAATACACCACTCCTAGCCCTTTTAAACACATCCGTAAATGCTTTTTGAACTCTTTTCTTCAGGAAATAGAGTGTAAAATATGCAAGAAATAATGTTCTGTAATGAATAGAGTAGAACACTTTGATCCTACCAGGGAATAACAAAGCTGATAAAAGCATCTTTTGACTTTCAGCTAAGCTCCCTTTTCATTGCTCTTAGTCATCTGTCTGTGGTGATGAAGGGCAGAATATGTACACAAACCCCCCGTGCAAACAAAAGGATAAAACGATGCACAGGCTGGGGATGTGTTCAATCTTACATCAGAACCTGTTTGAGCGTCACATACCAGGTGTAGGCCACACCCCGTTCTGCTGCTGGCTGATGTCTCAGGTTCGTCCCAGATGAAAACACATAAAGGTGTAACCACAGATAGACATGATTACTTCTAAAAGTGGAGGCAGCATCAGCAGGTACTTTCAGCTAACAAGGTAAGTGGCACACAGATCTCGCTGATTTAGTTCCATGTTTATGTATTTATTCCTCTGATTCTTAGAATTCCTTATTTGTCCTTCAGCAGGATGTGGGCTAAGCCTGAGCATTCACTTACTGATGTTTCTTAAAACCCAGGAGGAGTAAGCTCTTGCGCTATTACTGCCATTTTGCTGTACAATTAGATATAATCATGTAATTACAAGTTAATTACACAGTAGTTACAATTTAATTACTTTGACATTCAAATTACATTTTAAACACTGTAAAAAAGTTAAGTACTGAGCTGCTGTAAAATTATGTAATTATGTAATTCAAACAATGAGTTGACAGAGTAGAGGACAGATTCTTGTTCCCTTAGCTTACTATTATCAGGTAATTTAATCAATTAGAATTTGAAGGCAATCCAAAATTTATATATATATATATATATAATTATATATATATATATATATATATATATATATATATATATATAAAATTTTTTATGTGAAGGATAGAGTTTATATTTAGATTTTTATCTCAATTTATTTATGTTTAGTATTTTATTATTGTTTATATAGTACTAAATGTAACCTTGTTAAGTAATTATCAAGGTTAATTACTTTGTTAATGCTCTTCTTATTGCTTCTTTTCTTGAGTGCCTTGCTCTCCCTTTGAATTTCCCCAGTGTGATAAATAATAAAGAATTATCTTATCTTATCTTATCTTATCTTATCTTATCTTTTATACCAACAAATATCATCTAGCACCTTTAAGACCAGAATAGCTGGCTTCAGAGTGTCTTCACTGGAAAGCCACTCTGTGATCAGGTATAAATGTGAACGTTAATAGTTCCATTTAATTAAAAAGAGTGTCAGGGCTACAGTGCTGTCGAAGCACTGGCGAGGAACATGGCATAACCTGCACTTTAAAGTCAGAGGAAAACTCCATTCATGTGCTCAGGATGGGCTGTCAAGATTCCTCAAATCACATCTTTGATTTGATTCTCACAGGAAAAGTTTTTTTTTTTTCATTTCTGAAATTAAAAACTGGATTTTGTCCTAAAATATTCCCCTATAGCAGTTACAGCTGAGAAATGCTCGAAATGTTTTAATCATTTGCATGTCACTGCTGTCAAAACAAAACCTCGTATCTCCGAAATGGTAACTTCACAGGAGAAGGAAAAAACCTACTTCACTTTTAATGTAAATCAATGGAACCAGACTTTTTTCCAAGGATAATTTTTGCCAGTTCTTTTGGTCCATTCCTCATGAATTTACATACAATGTAAAGGGCAACAGGTATTTTTAAATTATGACATAAATAGAGATTTTGTTCCAACAGCAGCGATATGTAAGATGGGAGTTGCAGACCTTTTCATGCTCCACCCACAAACATTTTTAGTAACTTTTTTCTATTTTTTTGTGTGAAAAGTGTAAAAAGTCATACTATGCGGACAGACTGAGTGTAGATTATTGCTATAGTATCAAACTAGCATTAGCATGTTGGTAAATTCTTTGTTATTTCCAGTCTGTCTGGTTTCAGTTTGCTATAACAACATAATCTAGCTTGGTAGGACATTTGTTGGGTCTTATTGCAAAACGTATCATGCAGTGTGTGACAGTCTGTGTTGAACTGCAAGTTAGTTAAGCGTGAGTCAAATCACAAGTCAGTTAGGGGTGAGTTCAAGTCCTGAGTCAGTTAAGGTCCGAGTTTACTTGTGAGTCAGTTAAGAGTGAGTATGAGTTGACTCATGATTCAGGTAAGGGCAAGTCCAAGTCAAGTCACATATCAGTTATGAACTAGCATTAGCATGTTGGCAAATTCTTTCTCTGTCTGGTTTCAGTTAGCTACAACAATGTAATCTAGCTTAGGACATTTGATGGGTCTCATTGCAAAATGTATCATGGACCCCTTTTGAAAAATGTGTTTATGAGTGGGCTTTACACATACAGTTGAAATGTCAATGCTCTATGATGATTAGTACCACCTTTATTAGAGAAATCCACAAGAAGACTAGGTAATAAAGGGAAAATGGAGCTGCAAATTTAAACGGTTGAAAACAGTTGAACTAGTACTATTACCAAGACCAAGGAATGCAAATGAACCCTGTCGACACTTCAGATCGCATATTAAAGGAAGTGCTATTTACACACAGATAATAAACAAGATATAGGTACAGGTAGTAAGGAGGGGGTAGGGCCAAGAGCCAGAACAGTGACCAATCAGGAGTAGATTTGGAGTGTCTTAGGTTGAACCAAACTGCTTTTTACTTTTTTACTGTGTGCTCTTACCAGAGATGTTCATGGATTCTGAGTCAAATCTCGAGTCTCTGGGGTGTGAATGTGAGTTGCGTTTTGAGTTTTTAGTAGATTATTTTAGTTTTAGTCCCATTTTAGCTACAGGCACTCCTACTGTTAACCTGTCAGGTTTGACACGGCCTTAAATGATGAGCCTTTCATTAAAGAAAACCCCTCAGGTTAAAGGACAGTAATGAAGCTCTATACGCAGTACATTCAGTGCTGAAAGGAAACAGCTCAGAGCAGTTGGTTAGCATAGCGTACTTGCTATCCAAATTACATGGTAGCAGACATTTCAAGTCACCTTTGCTTGTCTCAACACTGCATTTACTGCATGTAGTATTTTGTTCTGTCCAAGTCTAAGTCAGATCATGAGTCGGTTAAGTGTGAGTTCATTAGAGTCATGAGTCTTTTAAGGGCAGGTCAGTTATGGGCGAGTTTGAGTCAAATCACAAGTCAGTTAGGGGTGAGTTCAAGTCATGAGTTAATTAAGCACAAGAATAAATCAATTTAATAGTCAGTTATGGTCAAGTTTAGTTGTGAGTCAGTTAAGGGTGAGTCTAAGTCGAATTATGAGTCAGTTAAGAGTGAGTACGAGTTGAGTCGTGATTCAGTTAAGGGCAAGTCCAAGTCAAGTCACAAACCAGTTAAGAGTGAGTCCGAATTCAGTTGCAAGTCAGTTAAAGACAAGTCTGAGTCAAACCACAAGTGAGTTAAGAATTAAGCTGTCAGCTTATTAAGTATGAGTCTGAGTTGAGACATAAGTCAGTTAAGGACAAGTCTGAGTCGAGCCGCAAGTCAGTTAAGGGAGTGTCCGAGTCAACCCACGAGTCAGTTAAGGGAGTGTCCGAGTCAACCCACGAGTCAGTTAGGGACAAGTCTGAGTCGAGCTGCAAATTAGTTAAGGGGGTGTCCAAGTCAAGCCGTGAGTCAGTTAAGGGCGAGTCTGAGTCAAGCCTCAAGTCAGTTAGGGACAAGTCTGAGTCGAGCTGCAAATTAGTTAAGGGGGTGTCCAAGTCAAGCCGTGAGTCAGTTAAGGGCGAGTCTGAGTAGAGCCTCAAGTCAGTTAAAGGAGAGTCTGAGTAGAGCCGTGAGTTTGATAAGGATGAGTCTAAGTCAAGCCATGAGTCAGTTAAATATCTAATCTAATCAGAAGTATCTCCTGAAAATGAGTAAATTGTAAATAATATCCTTTTGTCTGGAGGTTAAATAAGTGATGGGGGGGTAAGAGTTACTTTAACAGTACTGTATAGGTTATGCTACACATGCTATAGGACTACAGTGTGTGGTGTGTGTCTGTATGTTTGTATGCAGATTTCAGTGAACTCAATGGAAATCAAGCAGGATGTCAGTCAGCTGATAAACTGGAGCAAACAGGACGGAGGTTCATTTGCAAATGCTGATGAACCCGATGGACAGCACTCAGCCAGTGACTTCAGCAGCGTCCATAGCAAAGGTGAGGCACTGTGCCAAACTCTGAGATGAAAAGGTGTTGAAATCTCAAAGCCTTTCCTATTCAGCATTCAGCAGCAAAACAGAACACACATCTGCCCAGAAATCCCTCTCCTCCGCCGTAATTACGCTTGTCCTAACTCAGAGACACGCAGTTGTTCCCAATAGAGATACTTCACAAGGTTGCAGGAGGATTCACATAAATCATTTGGACACGCTACATAAACACTGACGATACTTCATAGTTTTGACAGAGAAATAACTTTTTGCTGGGCTGGTTTCTCTGTAAATAGTTGTTCAGTCCACTCAGAAACCAAAGAGCAGGCCTTATCAACTCTCTCAGTAATTTTTCTGTTCATGCCCAGTTGCTCCAAAAACGTACTTTACAGGCTATTGAAAATCTAGTTAGCATAGTACAAATAAAAACATACATTTATGGTGAACTACCAAAGACAATTCCTCTGCTGCTTCTTCTCCTTTTTAACCAGCACTTGCACTTCAGAAGCTTTTATTGCTGAGTCACTTTTAATAATAAACAACACTGCATTGTGTGTGGGTGCATTACAGAGATTGGCAGCACTTTCCACCAACTTCTGGTCTCTAATTCAGTTCATTTAAATTTTATATGTATAGCGCTTTCTGCATCAAACAGTGTCCCAAAGCTGCTTTCCAGAAATGCAGATACAGCATTGCCGAGGGAGATGGTGTCAGGAAAGGCTCCCTAAGTTTATAAGGGAGAGACGCTGAGAGGAACAAAAACTCGGAAGAAAATTTGTACAAAGAACACGAGGAAGAACAATGAGAGGAACCAAGACTCAAAAGGGGAAACTTTCTAAGAACATGAGGAAAAAAAGCTGAGAGGAACAAAGACCCAAAAGGAAAAACTCTCTAAGAGCATGAAGAAGAACTACTGAGAGAGGAACCAAGACTCAAAAGAAAGACTCCCCAAGAGCTTGAGGGAGAACCACAGACAAACTCCCTGAGAGTATCAGAAAAAAACACAGAGAGGAACCAAGACTTAAAAGGAAAAACCATTGAGGGAGGAATGCAGAGGAACCACCAAAAGGAACCGAGACTCAAAAGGGTAAACTTGCCAAGAATATGAAGAAGAACACTCAAAAGGAAAAACTCCCTAAGATGGTGAAGAAGAACCACTCAGGGAGGAACCTAGACTAAGATGGAAAAACTTCCCAAGAGAATGCAGAAGAACCCACAAAAGAAACATAAAAGGGAAAACTCATGCATGACGGAGAACCACTGTCAGGAACCAAGACTCAAAGCTGGCAACTTCAAGAGAATACGGAAGAGCCCACGAAAGGAACCAGGACTCAAAGGGAAAACTCCCTAAACGCATTATGGAGAACCTCTAAGAAGAACCAAGACTTAAAAGGAGAAACTTCCCAAGAGAATGCAGAAGAGGCCATAAAAGGAACCAGGACTCAAAAGGGAAAACTCCCTAAGAGCATGAGAAAAAAAGCACTGAGAGACAGCAAGACTCAAAAGGGGAAATTTCCTAAGAACATGAAGAAGAACACCCGAGGAACCAAGGAACCAAGACTCAAAAGTAATATAAACTACATACAAAACAGTATCAAAGCTTATCTAAGATGGAACACCACATCAAAGATAAGCAAGTCTACATACTCTTACTGTTTTGCTGTGACACCATAATTTCTTCATGTTTTTGAATGTGTTCGATCTGCCGTCTCATTTATGCAAATGTTTTATGCAAAGTTGCTAGTGGGATACACTTGCTTTGTAGTGGTTGGAGTGCAGAGGTGTAAAGAGTACTAAATTATTTTACTCAAGTAAAAATACTGTTACTATGGTGAAATTGTACTCAAGTATAAGTAAAATTACTTGTGTAAAAATCCACTCAAAAAAAGTAAAAAGTAACTTATTTAAAATGTACTTTGAGTAAAAGTTACTTTTAAACTGTATGGTTGGCAGATACATGGTCATCTAGGACACTTCCCAGGCAATGCATACAGGACAATAGCATGTATATAACATTTTTAATTTCAGATCACCTTTACAAAATTAAGTGCATTCACAAATTAAATTAAACCATGAAATAAACAATGCATAAATAATTTTAAATGGAATAAAAATAAAAAATATATATATAAAGTGTTAAATAAATAAATACATAAATAAAAAATACAATTAAACTGAAATAAAATTATACAAAATATGCTAACAAATAATCAAACATGTCAATGGGTGACCACATTAATAGTTTTTCCAAACACTAGCAATGAATGGCATGGAAAAAAGGAATTGAATAAAAAAAAAAATAAAAAAAAAAATAAAAAAACTAAAATTTCCCTTCTTTGTTTCCATAGAATGAGAAAAACTCTGGTACCCCATATAACTAAAAGAGGTTCTGCTACAATATGCAACCAAACAAGTATGTAGTATATATACTGCATGTGAGAGGACTGATTGACCTGCAGAAAAAAAAAACAAAAAACATTTAGATGGGTGAAATCAGCACACCTGTTCACACACAAAAAATCCACAATTGTGGAATTTTTGTAGATTATTACTCCGTGAATTTACTGTTCAGTTTGAGCAGGAGCTGGTTTTCAAAGTTAGCACAGCTCAGTCTTGCTCGCTTTGCAGTGAACACCAGTCCAGCACAGCTGAACAGACGCTCGCAGGCGGCAGATGCAAGCAGGCCAGTATTGAGTTTTAGGGACAGTTTTCTGATGTACGGAAATGAGTTTAGTAGGTCCATCTTGTCCGAGACACAATCAAGGTATCCGTCAAGCTCCCCTGTACTCTGTGTCCTTCTGGATTTCATTGAAGAGAAGAAATCATCTTCATCTGATGCTGCCCAACTGTCACCCTGAGTCATTTGTTCAAGGAGAGTTTTCACGTAGGCTAAACCTGTATAACAACAAATGTGACAAATACAATGACTTATGTTGAAACATAATTCTTCATGGGCCTAACATCCCAACAAAAATGTTTCCCCTACAGTAGATATGTAGTCAAAATCATGATGCCTATGATATTGCACGAATGCAAGATGACATGTAGAGCACACAGGACTCAGAGTCATTTTTAGTTACCTCCATTTTTTTTTTCAATTTGCTTTTTATTATACTTAGAAATTTGGGGAAGTTCTGTATTAAAGTGATAGCAAAACCTACTAGCCGCTATACATTTTGATTAATTCCATAGTCTTTCTTAGCATTGTGTAAAGATGCAAGTGGTCAATATGTTAATAAAAACCTTTGTTGCTTTCGTTTTACTATTATTAGTAATACTGTTATGAGCATATCCTACAAGTTCTTGTTTGTCTACAGTCAGAGGATTTCTATGTTAAATTTGACAACTGCATGCCGACTCTTAATGTGCCCATACCTGCCTCTATGACCTCAGCATTCTCAGTCCAAGTGGTCTTCAACTTTGGCAGAAGGATTCCTGCAGCTATTAGCTCAGGGTCCTCCACCATCCCACCAAAGCGCTTCTGGACACCATCCTGAATGGCTCTGATGAGTGGCAGACACATCTTGGAGGAAGCTTCCATCCTTCTGAGCTTTGCTTGTAGCTGGAAGATCACAGGAAGTAGCCTTCCCATGTATGCACTTGTCTCAGACTGAAGGATGTTTAAAGCCGTCACCACAGGCTTCATGGCAATACAATACTCATTCAAGAAGGCGATTTCAGCTGGACTCAGCCTGTACAGCACATAGCAAATGTTAAGGTATGTTTGCAGGAATCTTTTAATATGGAAATTTTCAAGTAGGTAAAAAGACAATGAAACACGTTTTATTCATTAACACTAATGCAAGGTGGGAAATTAACGCCCATCACCAACCAAAAGCAGGTGATTTTGTTTAGAAGCCAGTAAAATAGTTTAGCCAGCTACCATATTTAGCATTTGATTTTAATGAGGCTGGTAAAAAGAGTAGCAAATACCGACGAATTCAGTAATGTACCAGACAGTTCATTTTGCAGGTTGCATAAACCCAGGTGAATCAAAATTAAAGCCAATATCCCCTACTGAGTTTACCATTTAACGTCTTTGTAGTCATTAAAGGGAGATGCAGAGGAAAGGAACAGAGATGAGCTTAAAGCAGAAATTTTAAACAATACTCACATTGTCACACCAAACTTTTCACCGACTTCCCCCTCCTGCTGCAAGATCCGTAAGATTCTCTCTACAGCCATATATACAGAGTTCCACCGAGTTTGATTTGGCCGGATGAGCTGGAGCTTGCATTCATCTTCAACAATTTCTGCGGCTATATATGACCGGCCTGTTTTGTTCCACAATGCTTGGCATTTTCCAAAGGCTGCACGCGATAGCCGTTTGTATGTACCATTCTTTTCTTCTGCCTGGGCAGCATCTGTCGTGGCAACTAAGTTTAACAGGTGGGCTGCGCATCTTTGATGTTGGGGAAGCTGGTATTCAAGACCACTGTCTTCGTCCAAGATGCTGAATGTGTCCAGGTAGTCTGTCTGGAGCTCTTCAGAAGAATCTTTCTCCAACTCCGCCTCCTCAGATGGATCCTGACTGCCAAACACATTGAATGCTTTAATAAAGTTCGAACCATTGTCAGTCGTGGTTCTCACCACCTTCTCTCTTATCTTGTACTGAGAGTGAATGTCATTAAGGGCACTGGCTAGAACATCAAAGGTGTGGGACCCTCTCAACCTCTTGCAGGCAAGTGCAGCAGATCTTGTTTCCAATGTTTCTTCATCTATCCAATGAGCAGTGACACCAATATAACTTCTGTGGTGCACTGTCCAGCAATCAGTGGTGGTGGCAACATAGGTAACTGTTCTAAGATGTGATATTAAATTTACCTTCATTTGAGTTGCAGCTTCCTGTATTTTAGTTTGAAGAGCGGGTCTAGAAAGGACCTTGCATTCAGCGTTGACAAAAGATTTTTAAATGCAGGTTCTTCAACAACAGAAAATGGATTGAAGACCCTCACAAATAAAGCGGATCATAAGCTTGTCAACTCACTGCTGTGGCACACGTCTGGA